GCGAACCATTTCAACTCCCCCTCCCATTCCTCAGATGACATGTCCATCCTGGGCCTCCTGCAGTGCCACAACGATGCTGCCCGAAGGTTGCAGGAACAGCAACTCCTATTCTGCTTGGGAACCCTGCAGCCCAATGGTATCAATGTGGATTTCACAAGCTTCAAAATCTCCCCTCCCCCTACAGCATCCCAAAACCAGCGCAGCTCGTCCCCGCCTCCCTAACCTGTCCTTCCTCCCACCTATCCCCTCCTCCCACCTCAAGCCCCACCCCCATCTCCTACCTACTAACCTCATCCCGACCCCTTGACTTGACCTGTCCGTCCTCCCTGGACTGACCTATCTGCTCCATACCTCCCCACCTACACTCACCTTTACTGGCTCCATCCCTGCCTCTTTTGACCTGTCTGTCTCCTCTCCACCTATCTTCTCCTCTATCCATCTTCTATCTGCCTCCCCCTCTCTCCCTATTTATTTCAGAACCCCCTTCCCCTCCCTCATTTCTGAAGAAGGATCTAGGCCCGAAATGTCAGCCTTCCTGCTCCTCTGATGCTGCTTGGCCTGCTGTGTTCATCCAGCTCTACACTTTGTTATCTTTTTTTGTTAATTTGTTGGTTTTTGGTGGACCTTGGCCTTTGTTGTTTGTAGACTTGCTTTCTTTTCCCTTTAGTTTTGCTGGTACTTGGAGCTCAGGATCATTCTGTGTTTGTGATTTAATAGCTCCTGGTCATTCTCATCAAATCAGTCTTGATATTTCTTGATAAAGAAGCCAAATATGTCACTGTCACAACCTGTTACCATCACAATATGATGAACTAATAGCACAGACTTTGTGGATCTGGTAATAGTAATCATTGCAGTATTGTGACTAAGATGGTCAGATGTGGAAGCTAAATATACCAGATTGGAAGATCTACAGGCATGATAGGCAACCATAGAAGAAAATGAGTAAACAAACTGTTGATTGAAATTTTAACTGGCTCATGCGATGAAAGCATTGCTGACAAAGTATGAGATTATTTCTCATCCACATTGCTTAAGAAAGTGGTGGTGAGTCTGCCTCCTGCTAGCCACCTCATGTAATTACACCCATAGACCTGCTTGAACCAGGATTTTAAACTGCAATCATTGGAGGAACAGATTAGAATCGTTATTTATATGCACTTTGCATGACTATCAAATATCACAAATGCTTTACAACCATTTGAGCGCTTTAAAGTGTAATTACTGTTGTATAATGTAGGAAATGTGGCAGCCCATTTGCTCCCACAAACAGCAGTGTATTAATGATGTATTAATAATACTATAATAATATTAATAATGTTCTGAGTATTCCCAGCTGAGATGGACCAGAATGTGGTAGAGGTCACAAGTTTGAATGGAACCATAGCAAGTTGCAGTGGTGCCTCTTGCAGATAGTAAACATTGCAGTTCTGATGGGTCTATACTTGGGGTTCTGAATCTTTAAGTTGGAGGATTGAGCAGTTGGTGACGAGTTGAGCATGCTCCGTCCTCATGTTTTTGAATGTTGTTGGAGCAGCTCTCGTTCAGGTACCTATTACTTGGGGGGGTGTTGACAGCCATTGGGCAGTTAGGAGATGAGTTACTCCATTTAGAATTCCCCGCTTCAGTTCTGCTTTTGTCGCCTTAATGTTTATGATCCATTCACTTTATGTCAATGGTAAGGCCCAGGATTTTGTTAATAGGGAATTTGGAGATTGTAATGTCATTGAATGTCAGTTGGAGTTGGTTAAATTTTGTCTTGTTAGGGGTGCTCCTTGTCTAGCTCTCTTGTGGCATAAATTTTACTTTAATCACTTTGATTAAAGGGAATATAACGAGACATGACATGAGCAGGCTTCGGCAACTGAATTAAGAGAACTAAGAAATCGAAAAAGGTTCTGCACTATTGGAAATCGTGTACAGCACCTATAGTAGAAAGTGTTAGTTGAGTAGATAGAGATTAGACAGGCATATAGCAAAGGCAGTGTACTTATAGTAAGGTTTTCATTTTTGTATATACAGCGAACTTTGTTTTAACCAGTGCCTTATGAACTGACACTCTTGATAAACTGACAAAAATACTATACCTCAAATACTGTAAAGATTACTGTATTATTATCTAATTAGTATTGTTTTTAATTTATTTACCCCAAAATAAATATACTTGTTGTTCAATCAAATGGCCACATGAAATATCAACTGTTGATTTAATTTTGAGTCAATTTCTCATCAAATAACACGATCTTCCGCAATGTCTGAGGTAGTCAGTTGAGTGTGCCAGTGAGAAGGCTCTCTGTTGGTAAGTTTTATTTAAGGTACAGTTGCAGTATGATTTGATTTGTGCTGTAAATAAAGTTTAACAGTGATATGTATACCTCCTACATTATTTTTTCATTACTTGGTGTGTATTTTTACATTGATAATGTGGATAACTTGATTATCGAGAATATTTTGATCAATTGGCACATGCCTGATCCCATAAATACCATATAATAAAAAAATTTACTGTATTTAGACAAGCAACAAACGCCTGTTGAAAAGGTAGAGATTGGGATTATTTTCTGTAGCAGCATCTCCTAGAACTAAAAGAAATGAGCAATGAGCCCTGATTTTAGTAAACAATCTGAATATTTCACTAATAGTGACCATGATGTGATTGAGTTCAGCATGGTGTTAGATTGGGAAGAATGTGACATCACTACTAAGTTTCTAGATTTTAATACAGGCTGATATTAGCGTGATGAGACAGTTTCCCTTGTGAACTGGATAAAATGACAAATGAGAGATGTTATGAAATGAATCTGTTGTGATACAAAATCAAACCCTAAGAAGCAGTGGCTCTGCTAACCAAAACAGACGTGCACAATTAAAGAAATAAAAGAATATGAAAGGAAAGCATAAAATACACCAAAAAATACACCCGACACTGGCAAATGGAAGTGATATGAAAAGTAGTGAGGGGTGTCCAAATAGGTAGTAAGAAAGAGTGTTAAAAAGAACTTGCGGAGGGCAATAAGATGAGTTTTGCTTCTCATTTCCCTAATGTGGTTATCATATGAGCCTTTTAAACTGTCACTACCAAAATCACAATTGTCAATCAGGAAATTAAAGGAAAATATCAGTGTGCTGGAAATTGCAAGTATTGAATTGCTGTTATGAAAATAAACTTAGCAAAATAGCAGCCATGAAGAAAGTAATGGTCGAAAGGAATGACAAATCCCAGGACCAGTGGTTTTCAAATTTTGTTTAACTGACGATATTACGTGGCCCTAACTATGACGTTTTACAACTCTCTTGTTTCAGAACCTTCCTTTTAAATTGAAAAATTTATGTAGGTCGATTTGAAGCTGAGAGGAAAGCCAGAGAATTCTGGACCAGTTAGCCTAACATCTGTTGGGGAAAATTGCAAGAGATTTTTTTTAACAATATACAACTTCAAAGCTTTCAGCTGATCAAATAAACCCACAGGTGAACAGTAAGTCGTGACTAATGAATATAGGCCGAATCACCTACCTGTGTTCCGATTAAGCCTGCTCTACCATTCAAACGGATCGTATCTGCTCGGTTCTCTCTCTGCCATATTTTTCTCTTTGATATCATCAGTATCCTGAAACCTATCAATTTTTATATTGAGTGTGCTCAGTGATTTAGTTTCTACTGGCCTTTGGAGTAAGTGATTTGAATTTTTGAAGAGGTGATTAAAGTAAAGGAAAGAATGTTGTTACCTATGGATGTTGTTTATGTGGACTTAAGACATTTGATCAAAGATCGTCAAAAGAAATTGTTAACTGAAGTTGCACCTTATGGCATAGAGAATTATTGACCTGGTTAGGAAATGGATTGAGCAGCAAGAGACGACAGTAGGGATAATGAGCAGGATTAATGATATTTTGTAGGAGGTGTTGCAGCTTCAACTATTCACCATCAATAATAATGACTCATGATGGGGCAGAAAGTCACATACCCAGATTTTGCCAATGATGCAAAAGAGAAGTGTCATTGTAAGCAGTGTAGGTAATATTACAAAGCATTATAAAAAAAATTAATTGAGTAGAGAAAACCGATGAATAAAATTAAATGTAATCAAATGTTTAGTGATTCAATCAGGTCCTAAAATACTAAAATGGGTGACGTTCTCAGGAGTGGAAAGCTAGAAGCAACGGGGTCCAGATAGTTAGATTTCCTGAACAGATCAAGAGAAGCTGATGGAGCGTTGACTTTTCTGACTAGAATATATGGGTTAAAGTGGCACTTCAACTATACAAAACTGTGCTTACACCGCAACCAAGTGCAACTGGCAGTTCCTGGAACCATTTTGGGAAGGTTATTTTAGGCTTCAAGAATGCAGAGATGAGATTTACCAAAATAACATCTATTTTAAATTAAAAGGCATAATTAGATAGCTTACCTGAAACTAAAGTATAATTACTTGCAATAAATAGAAATTCTTAAGTACAGAAATCTGTTTTGTGCTTTCTACCAACCCCGGTCTGAAAATCAGATAAAATGGGAATTTTGCGTACTTTTTGAAATATTCAACTTTGGTGACAACTCCAGGAAAAGCACGGCTTAATTTTCAGCATATTACCCAAATGAGTTGTGACAGTTAAACTTCCACTTACATACACTCTCTCACAAACGCACACGTGTATGGGGTTAGGGAGAGTGGAGCATGGACAGAGCGGGTAAAGGGAAAGCAGTTCAGTAGTCTCTGTTCACAAGATCTGTTGAATTGGTTCTTGCTGGTCAGAAGGTTTCTCTGACCTTTTCCAATTCCTTCTGGTTTGCAAGAGGCACAGGATGACTGATTCACTTGTACAAGGTCTCTGACTTACCAATTGCAGTAACTATTGAATGAAAGATAAAGTAGATTTCTTTGGATTTAAATTAGGTTTTGACTACAGAGAACAGAGAAACAGCTCCTGAGCTAGTGGAGATCTGATCACTTCTCTGTATCTTGTTCACAGCCTCAAGTTACTCAGTTACCGAAGAACCAATCTCACAATTGCTAGCAAATGAAAGGCCTTTGTCATCAGCCACTGATCACTAGTCTATAGACCAATTAATTTCTTGCTGTTAACCAGTGTTGAATACGGAACCTCTTAGATTCAGTTCATCAAAATCAACATGGCTTTATGCATGGGAAATCACGTCTCACTAACATGATTTCGGTTTTTTGAAAAAGTGAAGATGATTGATAAAGGCAGACCAGTGGATGTTGTCTATATGGACCTCAGTAAGGCGTTCGACAAGGTCTCGCATGGTAGGCTGGATAGCAAGTTTAGATCACAAGGAAAACAGGGAGAGCTAGCCATTTGGATACAAAATTAGCTCGAAAGTGGGAGACAGAGGGTGGTGATGGAGGGTTGCTTTTCGAACTGGAGGCCTGTGACCAGCGGTGTGCTGGGTCCATTGCTTTTTGTCATTTATAAGAATGATTTGGATGTGAATAAAGGAGGAATGGTTAGTAAGCTTGCAGATGACACCAAAATTGGTATAGTAGACTGTAAAAAAGATGATCAATGAGTACAACGGGACCATGATCAGAGGGGCACATGGGCTGAGGAGTGACTGGCGGAGTTTAATTTAGATAAATGTGAGGTGTTGCTTTTTGTTAAGGCAAATTGGGCAGGACTTGTACTTAGTGGTAAGGTCCTAGGAAGTATTGCCGAGAAAAGAGATCTTGGGGTGCAGGTTCATAGTTTTAGAAAGTGAAATCGCAGATAGACAGGGCAGCGAAGAAGGCGTTTGATACGTTTGTATTTATTGGTAAGTGCATTGAGTATAGCAGTTGGGAGGGCATGTTCTGGCTGTACAGAATATTAGTTAGGCCACTTTTGGAATATTGTGTTCAATTCTGATTTCCCTGGTATAGGAAAAATGTTGTGAAATATGAAAGAGTTCAGAAAAGATTTACAAGGATGTTGCCACAGTTGAAGGGTTTGAGCTATAAGGGAGAGGCAGAATAGGCTGGAGCTCTTTTCCGTGGAACATTGGAGGCTTATAAAATCATGAGGGGCATGAATAGATGAGTAGCCAAGGTCTTTTCCCCAGGGTAGGGGAGTCCAAAACTAGAGATCATAGATTTAAGGTGAGAGGTGAAAGATTTAGAAAGGATCTGAGGGGCAGTTTTTTCATGCAGAGGATGGTGCCTGTGTGGATTGAGCTGCCAGAGGCGGTGATGGAGGCTAGTACAATTACAACGTTTAAAAGGCTTCTTGATGGGTACATGAATAGGAAGGGTTTAGAAGGATATGGACCAAATGCTGGCAGATGGGAAGAGATTAATATAAGATATCTGGTCACCATAGATAAGTTGGACTGAAGGACCTGTTTCCATGCTGCACATTTCTATGACTCTAACTGCAGCCTAATCTACAGTTACTGCTTGTTCAAGCAGCTCTTTAAATGACGCTTAACATGAGTGTTAAATTACTTGCTTTTCAAATATGCAGCAGTTGAGGTTTTTAGAAGTTTTTCTTAGTTTGGTCCACTTAAAAAGGTGCAATCTTTACAATCTAAAGCTATTTCTGCTCAATAGGGAGTCTAGGGCTAGGAGCATAATCTGAAATTAGGTGTGGACCCATGAGAAAATGGAAAATGCTTCTACCCAAAATCTGATAGTTTCAAACTTCTGCAAATGATAATTGATACTCGAACTACACTAGACCTTTTTGTCAGTTGGAGGGATTAAGGGATGTGGGACAAATAGGTGGTTAGGTTTCAAATCACCATGACTTGATAGAATGGTGGAGCAAACTGGAAGGGCTGCATGGGATCTGTGCTGGGGTGGCAACTGTTTACAATATGTTGATGACATTGAGTAAGAAAGCAGATGTACTGTAGCCAAATTTGCAGATAGAACATAGAGCAGTACAGCACAGTACTGCGGCGCACGATGTTGTGTCAAACTTTTACCCTAATCCTAAGGTCCATCTAACCTCCACCCCTACCTTATACTATCATCCATATGCCTATCTAATAGCCGCTTAAATGCCCCTAATGAGGCCGACTCCACTACCCTGTCTGGCAATGCATTCCACGCCCCTACCACTCTCTGAGTAAAGAACCTACCTCTGACGTCTCCCCTATATCTACCTCCACTCAGTTTAAAACTGTGCCCCCTCATAATAGCTATCTCCACCCTAGGAAAACGTCTCTGGCTGTCCACTCTATCTATACCTCTGATCATTTTGTACATCTCTATCAAATCACCTCTCATCCTTCGTCGTTGTAAAGAGAAAAGCCCTAGCTCGCTCAACCTTTCCTCGTAAGACCTCGCCCCCACCCCATCCACCCCATTCCAGGCAACATCCTGGTAAGTCTCCTCTGCACCTTTTCCAACGCTTCCACATCTTTCCTGTAATGAGGCACCCAGAACTGGACACAATACTCCAGATGTGGCCAAACCAGGCTTTTGTATAGCTGCAGCATAACTTCATGGCTCTTGAACTCAATCCCTCTATTAATGAAAGCTAATATACCATACGCCTTCTTAATAACTCTATCTGCCTGGGTGGCAGCTTTCAGGGAACTGTGCACATGAACCCCAAGATCCCTCTGCTCCTCCTTTTGCAGGGGAGAAAGAAAGAACTGTATTAGCTAAATCGGAGAAAAACTGCAGAACGCTGCAACATACTTGTTGGTACTTGTCCACAAAGCACAAAGCTAGCGCGTAGGTGCAGCAAGTAATCAGGAAGGCTAATGGGATGACGGCCCTTATTTCATGAGAGTTGGAATGTAAGCGTAGGGACCTCTCAATAGAATTGATCTTTCTCTGAACCTTCTTTGTAGCTGTAGCACTATATTCTGCATTCTGTTCTATTACCCTGATGTACTTGTGTAAGATATGATTTGTCTGGATGGCATTTAAAACAATACTTTTCACCGTATCTTGGTACATACGACAATAGTAAATCAAATCAACTCTTTCTGAAACTCTCCAAGGTGCTGCTGAGATCAGGGTCCCCTTATTTAAGGAAAGATTTTATTTCATTGGAGGCTGTGCAGAGAAAGTTCACTAGGATGATCACTGGTATGGATGGATTGTCTTGTGAGCAAAGGTTAACCAAGTTGGGACTCGACTGCTTGGAATTTAGAAGATTGAGAGGTGATCGCATTGAAACATAGGATTCTTAAGGGGCTTGATGCGGTAGATACTGAGAGGATGTTTTATTTCATGGGAGAGCATTGGACCAGAAGGCATAGTCTCAGAATAAAGGGGTGTCAATTTAAGACTGAGATGAGGAGGAATTTCTCCTGAGGTTGCATGTTTTGGAACCTTTGAAGTAACCTCAGCATTTTTTTCAAATTATAAATCTTTTGATCTGTGGGAGCAGAGTACTTGTGTATATAAACAAGGCTGAAACAGATTCCAAGAAAGGACAGGAAAGTAGACATAAAGAATGTTGGATCAGCCATAATCCTATTGAATAGCAGAGCTGGCATGATTTGCTGAACAACCTACTTTTTTTTTCCTTTTTATTATGATCTAACAGCATTCATATTTATCCCATGTGAATTGCACCCTTCTGAAGTGAGGTAGATGTTGTTTGGGGCATTCTAGCCATTTTCAGCAGAGGAAGCTACAGCATTGTAACAGATCACAGTTTTTGGATGACATCCTTTAAACTATGTGGCATATACCAGGAAATTTTAGATCTGTTTGAATAGAACGGTTCGTGAAAAATGAAATTAAATGCCCATTTGATGTGATGAAATCTATTGGATAAACTAAGCATCACCTTTATCTTTGAAAACAGGGTACTGAAAGGGGTAAATAAGGAATTCAGTGAGGTAGAAGAGGAAAGGGGTGTTGAGATGGATTTAAATAAATCATTGAAAGTAACATCTTGGCTGAGTATAGCAGTAAACAAGACATTGTAATTTATTTCCCAGCTTGGGGTCTTTTTCTTTAGAAGCAAGAAACCTTAGAAGTAACCTCAGCATTTTAAAAATTATAAATCTTTTGTACTGAGTAGACGTGGAGAAAATATTTCACGTTGTGGCTATAAATGCAGACAGTTATGTAAGAATAGACTAGGAAAGTAAGAAAGGTGATTAAACATAATCATGAGAGAAAAAAGGAATTGTAAGATATGTTGGGGATTGAGATGAAGTAGATAGAATGGGAGGAGACTTGTGGTTTATAAATAACAGCATAGACTCGCGTGGCAGGATCATCTTTATCGTATTCCGTGTACTTAATCCCTTTAATCCACATTCTGTTTTTAAGTGTTCTAGGACCCTAAGGGAATAAGTTATGAGGAAATGGAGTTCTGGCTTCTCAGTTTATGGAGTGGGAAGCTGCAGATGAGAAAGATAAAATGTTCTAATTGTTGATTAGTTTGATTTGTCTGCTGTCAGGTCTTTCTGTTTTGTGTTTATCTCTTCTGTGCCTGGAAGAAGATGAAGAATTGCAATTAAAATTGTTACTTGGGTGCTGTGTAAACTTAACCAGTTATTGTTATGCCACACTAGGGTAGCCTGCCTGGAAATCGAGTTCTGCTATTCCTGGAGATGTCACAAAAGTTCAAGTGGTATCTTTTGTGACTGGAAACCTGTATTCACTGGGGTTCTGTCCTTGTTGTTTGTGTTTTATATGAATGACTTTAATGTAGGGGGTTGATCAGTAAGTTTGTGGATTTTGCAAAATGAGTGAGGTGATAAACAGTGAGGAGGATAGCCTTCAAATTACAGGCGGATATAGATGGGCTAGTGCAATGGAATTCAGTCCGGATAAGTATGAGATGATGCACTTGGGTAGGACAAACCGCACGAGTGGGACTGAGATGCATTGAGGATCAGCAAGACCTTGGTACACATGTCCCTTGGGTAGCAGGACAGGTAGATAAAGTAGTCAAGAAGGTATATGGGACTTTTGCCTTTATTAATTGAGGCATAGAACTTAAGAACTGAATTGGAACATGTGCTGGAACTGTATAAAACATTGGTTAGGCCGCAGCTAGAGTATTGTGTGCAGTTATGGAATCCACATTATAGGAGGGATGTGATAGCACTGGAGCGGGTGGCAAAGAAATTTAGCAGGATGTTGAAGAGTTTCAGTTATGCAGAGAAATTGGACCGACTAGTGTTGTTACCCATGGTGTGGTGGAGATTGAGAGGGGATGTAATTTACAAAGAGCAAGAACAAAGAAAATTACAGCACAGGAACAGGCCCTTCGGCCCTCCAAGCCTGCACTGATCCAGCTCCTCTATCTAAACCTGTCGCCTATTTTCCAAGGATCTGTATCCCTTTGCTCCTTGCCCATTCATGTATCTGTCTAGATACATCTTAAATGATGCTATTGTGCCCGCCTCTACCGCCTCCGCTGGCAACGCGTTCCAGGCACCCACCACCCTCTGTGTAAAGAACTTTCCATGCGTATCTCCCTTAAACTTTTCCCCTGCACCTTGAAATCGTTACCCCTAGTAATTGAGTCCCCCACTCTGGGGGAAAAAGCTTCTTGCTATCCACCCTGTCTATACCCCTCATGATTTTGTAGACCTCAATCAGGTCCCCCCTCAACCTCCGTCTTTCTAATGTAAATAATCCTAATCTACTCAACCTCTCTTCATAGCTAGCGCCCTCCATACCAGGCAACACCCTGGTGAACCTCCTCTGCACGCCGTCCAAAGCATCCACATGCTTTTGGTAATGTGGCAACCAGAACTGTACGCAGTATTCCAAATGTGGTCGAACCAAAGTCCTATACAACTGTAACATGACCTGCCAACTCTTATCCTCAGTACCCCGTCCAATGAATGAAAGCATGCCGTATGCCTTCTTGACCACTCTGTCGACCTGCCTTGCCACCTTCAGGGTACAATGGACCTGAACACCCAGATCTCTCTGTGCATCAATTTACCCCAGGGCTTTTCCATTTACCGTATAGTTCACTCTTGAATTGGATCTTCCAAAATGCATCACCTCGCATTTGCCTGGATTGAACTCCATCTGCCGTTTCTCCGCACAACTCTCCAATCTATCTATATTCTGCTGCATTCTCCGACAGTCCCCTTCACTATCTGCTACTCCACCAATCTTAGTGTCATCTGCAAACTTGCTAATCAGACCATCTATACCTTCCTCCAGATCATTTATGTATATCACAAACAACAGTGGTCCCAAAACGGATCCCTGTGGAACACCACTGGTCACAGTTCTCCATTTTGAGAAACTCCCTTCCACTACAACTCTCTGTCTCCTGTTGCCCAGCCAGTTCTCTATCCATCTAGCTAGTACACCCTGGATCCCATGCAACTTCACTTTCTCCATCAGCCTACCATGGGGAACCTTATCAAATGCCTTACTGAAGTCCATGTATACGACATCTACAGCCTTTCCCTCATCTATCAACTTTGTCGCTTCCTTAAAGAATTCTATCAAGTTGGTAAGACATGACCTTCCCTGCACAAAACCATGCTGCCTATCACTAATAAGCCCATTTTCTTCCAAAAGTAAATAGATCTTATCCCTCAGTATCTTCTCCAGCAGAACGCATTTAGGTGCATAAAGTAGAGTGGCATAGATAGGGTAGACAGGAGGGGACATTCCCCTTGGTGGAGGGATCAGTGAATAGAGGCCATATATTTAAGATAAGGGGCAGGGGGTTGAGAAGGGATGTGAGGATTAAACATTTCACTTGAGAGTGGTGGGAATCTGGAACTCACTGCTTGTGTGGGTGTTAGAGACAGAAACCTTCATAACATTTTTAGAAGTGTTTATAAGTGTACTTGCAGTGCCAAAGAAAACGGGGCTATGGGCTAAGTGCTAGAAAATGTGTTTAGAATAATTAGGTGGTTGTTCTTAACTGGCGCAGGCTTGATGGGCCAAAGGTACTTTTTCGGTGCTGTAGTTCTGACATTTCATCAGTTAAGTACTCTGGTTTAAAAACAGAAAATAGAAATGCATGGTCCTAACACTGTTAATTTGTGAGTTTAACCCAGTATTGGCAAACTTTAGAATGCATTTGAAGTAGTAAGTGTCTAAATTGCAGAGGTATTGCCACTAAAAGCTGGGGTCCTTGTCCGCCTGCTAAGAGTCTGGATGACTTGCTAATACAGCTGAACTGTTTTAATTGAAACTGCTTTTTGACTTTGTTGACAGTATGATGTCGAGGACTTTCGCAGAAAGAAAGAGATTACAACAAAAGGAACAGACTGTCCAAAACCAGTGTTCCAGTTTCACCAAGCAAATTTCCCTTGTGAGTGTCGTGTGCAATGAAGATTTGCCTCTTGGAGGTTTTTCTCGATTGTGATCTTTTGCTTCCTGCTTTATGTCTTCATATATGTTACATTTGTGTGTGTACCAAGTGCTTACATGTAAAATTTAAATGTGCAGAGGGTGTTTTGAAGGGAAGCCTTGGACTCTGGATTTAGAGTCATGGGTTGTTTCAATTTGATTTACTATTGTGTATGACCTTGAAACAGGTGAATTGTGTAGTTAAGATTGTCAGCAAATGTGCAACAATGAGATCACGTTAGGTAATAGATTCCAGGCAGGTTTATTTAAATATTGATGTTGTAGTTTACTTAGAGATCCAAAATGACCATAGATTTGGGGCTTGCCGAGGCCCTTTTTCTTACATCCTGTAAGAATAATGAAAACCAAGACTCCTATCGTGAATTGTATTCTTTCAAATGGTCATGGGCTGTAATGTTACACAGGCCTAATAGGTGTTAGGTGTTAGTTAGGTGATTTGCTGACGGATGCAAGTGGCAGGGTTTTAAACACTAAAATTAAGAAATGCGGGCTATATTTCGCAGCTCTGTCTGCATCCAATGTGTTTAGTTATTGAACTTCAGAGCTGGAAATAAATTACAACAGAAATGTCCAGTATGCAGAAAGAAGAATAAAACACAGTATATACATGTTCTCAGAAATATGGTGGAAAATAGGCAATTGCTATGTATTTGAAGTAGTGTAATTGGAAAAATAATAAGAACACTTTTTATAGGTCTCACAACCACTCTTACGTATTCCCTCTTCTCTGTTCCGTTCTCTTTTAAATTACTGGTAATCTATAATTTTCTTGTTCTGATAAAGTTGCCCTGAGGGTTTGATTTCCAACATCTGCCCTTTTGATGATTATAGATGTTGTTGTGAATGTTTCTCTGTTCCCAGCTTATGTGATGGATGTTCTGTGTTCACTGAATTTTGTGGAGCCGACACCAATCCAGTGCCAGGGTTTTCCAGTGGCACTTAGTGGGCGTGACATGGTCGGAATTGCACAGACTGGATCTGGTAAAACTCTGGCTGTAAGTATTTGCAATTTTCCTTATTTAAAATTTAATGATTCTTGGGTAGGTTAGTTGTAACCAGTTTAAATTATGCCTTGAAAATGTATTCATTTGAAGTTATTCAACTTTCATTTATGTTACTATCTATGAGAAAACCGCTGTTTGGTTATGAATTGCTGCAAATATTTCTTTAAACATCACTAGCTGCAGAAAAGATCAGCCTTTTTCTTTTCTCATCAAATGTGTTATTGGCGCAGCCAAGGAGAGATTTTGTTACTCTGGACCTTTTGAATTTTTCATTCATGGTTGTCTTTGAAAAGTTTATACAAGATTTACGTTAAATATATATATGGATTCAGAAAGCATAGATTTTTTTTTGAAGTTAATCAGCACAGCTGGTGGGCATCAAATGGACGGTTCCTGTTTGTCATTGCAAGATTTAGATTTGACATTAAAACTACACCCCAGAATGGCATTCTTTACTGACACTTGCGTGAATTAGTACTTTGCTGGAAGTTCAGTTTGTGGTCGAGACTTTAAAAGTGTTTTGATTGTTGTCTCAGTGGATGTGAAAGATGTTATATCTAAAGAAAAGTAGGGAATTTTTGGCTAATATTTATCCCATAACCAAAAGTAATTAACTGACCCCTCAACTGAGTGCTGCTTGTATTGTACACAGACTAGGTTATCACCTGTAAAACAGCTGAGAAAGACGCTGGATAAATACTCTCACTCTCTTTGCTAGTCTAGAATGATCATATTCGAATGTAGTTTCACTGGATAATGCAGGTAGCAGGACCACTGCTACAAAATGTCATGTGCTGCTGTTGTCGAGTGCTGGGAGCATTAAGTCAGTTTACTGCTTACATAAGACTAGCACTACAGTTTCCGTTCAACTCCCCACAATCATCTTGAGTCTCTGACTGATAATGCAATCAAATGTTACCAAGTATTTTCGAGTCAGTTCACCAAAGGTGTAAACCAGGACCTAACTTCCTGGTCCTGAACATCTCTCTTGATGCTGCTGTGTCCTTTGCATACTCATGAGTGCCACCTTTGTGAGAAACCTTGTCTGAACCTAGTGGATTTATCTACTTTTTTCGCAAACGCAAAACTGAATTCAGTCAGATTGCCTTGGATAAAGATTCATACATTGGCTGTTGACGAGTAATGAAGCAGATTTGTTTAAATAAAGCTAAGAACTGTTGATGCTGGAAATCTGAAACAAAAACAGAGGTTGCTGGAGAAACTCAGCAGATCTGGCAGCATCTGTGGAGAAAAAGCAGAGTTAATGTTTTGGGTCCACTGATGTTCATCAGAACAAATAGTAGTGGAAAAGGTGGTATATATGCTGAAGATGATGGGTAGGCGGGGTAAAGGAGTCAGAGGGTAGGTGGAGATGGAACCCAGAGGGAGAGAAAGACAGGCAATCAGGAGGATGGACAGTGGTATGCCAGGAAGGAGAAAAGTTGAAAATATGGACCATAAATAGGCGAGAATTGGTTGGGTGTGCTGAAACCTGCCCATGTGATGTCAAGTTCTAGGGTGTGGGGCTGGGTAAAGAACATGGAAGGTGGTGTTCAGGCCCTAAAAATATTGAACTCTATGTTAAGTCCTGAAGGCTGCAGGGTCCCCAACTGGAAAATGAGAGCTGTTCTTCCACTTTGCACTCCCAACACCTCTTTACGACAATTACTCATGCAGTCATAGAAGGTGTAACACTGGCTTGTTTACCTAACTATCCAAACCTCCAGACACACCTTCCAGGTGAAGCAGAGGTTTACCAGCATTTCATTCAGTCTTACCTATTGTATTTGCTGCTCACAATGTGGTCTCCTCTACATCAAGATGAAACACAGGCTGGGTGACTTTGCATCTGCAATTCTGTCTGCAAAATGACTCCAAGCTTCCAATTACATGTCACTTCAACGCACTGTTCACTGGCCAACATTTTTGTCTTGGGCCTACTCTAGCGCTGTCTCTCCACAGATGCTGCCATGGCTGGATGACGGTAGAGGATTTGTTTCAACACCACCTCTGTTCTTCTTTACCTCTCTTGATCCCTTTGTTACCTAGCATCTCACTTCTCCACTCCCCAGTTTGTTGCCAGACGTGGTAGGAATTGTTTCACTGTAATATATCTTGTGCAACGTATCTGCCTTGCCCTGAATTCCCACCTATATGCGATTAGCTATGTGTCTGAAACTCAATCTGCCCTTTTATCTCAATTTTTAAAAAATGTTCCTTTCTGTGTGAAGCTACAGGATATTGAACATTGTGAAATGAATACTTCTCTTTGGTCTTCACTCTGGTAAAGAAGACTAGGTATGGAATTCAGTAAAAGGGACTGTTGAGGAACTTGTACATTTTGTTATAGGAAATAGGGAAGTATTGTAAGCTCTGATGGGCTTAAAAACGGACAAATCTCCTGGCCCAAGTGAATTGCATTCCAGGCTGCTGTGGCAGGCGGGGCAAAAAAATTACAGGGACTCTGACCCAAATTTTTAATTCCTGTCTGGCACCGGGGTGCCAGACGTCTGGAGGACAGCTAATAGGGTTCCACTTTTCAAGAAAGTTTGTAGAGATGAACCAGAAAATTATACACCAGTGAGTCTCACATCAGTGATAGGGAAACTATTGGAGAAAAGTCTGAAGGAGATAATTAGTATTCACTTGGAAAAGCATGAATTTATTGGGGAAAGTCAGCGTGGCTTTATCAGAGGGAGGTCATGTCTACCAAATTTGTTAAAATATTTTGAAAATGCGATCCAGTGTATGGATGAGGGAAATGCGGTTGATGTAGCTTAAACAGATTTTAGCAACGCTTTTACAAAAGTATCACATGAGAGACTGATTGAGAAGGATAAAGTATATGGTATTCAGGGAAGCATGGTGAGATGGATCAGAAACTGGCTTAGTAATAGGACACAAGGTTGTCCGAATGACTGGAGGCCAATGTCCAATGGTGTGCCACAAGGATCAGTACCGGGACCCTTATTGTTTGTTATGTAAATAAATTATATAGATGCGAATGCGGGGGGAATGTTAAGCAAGTTTGCTGACAACATCAAGATTGGTACAGTGGTTAATAGTGAAGAACATAGTTTTAGGTTAGAGGAAGATACAGATGCATTGGCTGGATGGACATAGCAGTGGCAGATGATACTTAACCATGTTAAGTGCAAGGTGATGCACTTTGGAAGAAGAAACAAGATGATGGAGTATTTAATGAATGGCAGGACACTGGGTAGCTCAAAGGAGCAGAGGAATTGTGGGGTGATTATTCACAGATCCCTGAAGTTAGCAGAGCACATGAATAGTTTAGTTAAGGAGGCATATAGGACAATTGCTTTCGTCAGTTATGGCATAGAGTATAAGAGCAAGGATATAATGTTGGAGTTCTACTGGAAGGATGTGATAGCACTAGAGGGGGTACCGAGGGGGATCATCAGGATGTTACATGGGTTGGAGCAATTGAGCTAGTGAGACTCGATAGGCTTGCGTTGTTTTCTTTTAGAATAGAGAAAGCTGAGGGGGGAACGTGATTGAGGTATATAAAAGAGAGAGAATGGAAAGGGTAAGTAGGGAGCAGCTGTTCCCCTTGGTTAAGGGGTCAGTCACAAGGAGACATACTTTCATTGTGTGGGGCAGGAGATTCAGAGAGGATTCGAGGGGGAAAAAATTTCTTCTCTCAGAAGGTGGTAGGAATTTGGAATGCAGTGCATTGGAAACTTTACAATGTTTAAAATATATTTGGATGAGCACTTGAAATATGACATTCAAGGATCTGGGACAACTGTAGGAAATTACGATTAGCCACCTTTAGTTGTAGTTATTGTTGGTGCAGACTCGATGGGCTGAAGGGTCTTTTCTGCACTGCGTGACTTTATAACTGTACTGGAATCTTGGGTTGTTGTCATTTATTTCCTATTGTCAGCTGCCTTTGGCATTAGTATTGGGCCTCTTTAGTGAACCCACAGTGTTGACCGTAGGTCAACTGGTAGCACTCTTACCTTGAGCCACAATTTGAGTTCTGATCCATTCCAGAGACTGGGTGAAGCAGCTATAGATGGTTGGCCATAGAGCATAGTCCTGAAGAATTCGTTGACGCTGGGGAATGGGATGATTGGCCTCCAATCACAATGTGATATGCTTGTATCAGGTGTGATTCTAGGCACTGGGCTTTTGGTGTCTCATGCACGTATGGTTGTAATGTATCAAAATTTATTAGAAAACCCACCAGAGTAGTTAATAAAATTGTAGGCATGTTTGGTGACAGGAATGGACACTGCTAATATATTATGTGACCTAAATCTAGATTGTTGCTGCAGGGGTGGGAAAAGAAAACTTTCCCATCAAGAACTTTATTGTTCACCTAAGTGTTTAATAGTTTTATGAGTAAATGTGTAACATGGTTAGATTGTTGCAAAGAATTGTAACTGAATTTTTATTTTCCAGTACTTACTGCCAGCCATTGTGCACATCAACCACCAGCCATTCCTGGAGCGTGGCGACGGTCCCATTGTGAGTCCTTTACTTTAAACCCATAAATATCAAACCCCACTTCTTTAATTGAGCAAATAATCTAGTTTGACAGTGCAGAAAAGCCTTGGGGGAATGTTGGCTGTTAAAAATGTGGTTGTTTCAATGAGATGTTAATCCGAGATACAGCCCCATTTGTTCAGATGAAAAGAAAGACTCCCCTAGTAAGAAGCTGTTCCATTCCTCAATTCAACATTTCCTCAACCAAATATACAGAAAACAGGTTTAGAGGCCATTCTGATTTTTTTGTGTGCGTGTAAGCTTCACACCCTCACAAAGAAATCAAAAGCTGCAAGTTTTTTGCATGTGAATGCTTTGCCAGTGGAAGCTTTTGCAACAAAATAGTTTAAATTTTCAAAGTGAAGATTAGCTAAATATTTGAACCAAAAAATCCAGAATTATGGGATATGTGGGTAGAGAATGCATTGAGAATTAGTTTTGCAATTAAATTGATTTTTCTTATGATCCATATCATTGGAGAAAGCACTTTAGCTGCTTCCCACATCTGTCATCCAAACTTATTAATGGGAGATCACAACTTGATAGGAGGCTTCCATCAGCGAATAATGCATTGCGTAGAGGAGAAACCACAAAACTTTCATTACCCCTTTATAGCTTTATGTGAGAGTTTTGGCGGAGTTGGGGGGGAGGTTTTAACTTCAATATTACTGAAGAAAAGAAAGTGTCAGTGATTTCATTTACACTTAGGCTTTATCCAGAATAATAGAACATCTTATGTTCTGATTGCTGGTGTTCCCTTTTCACAGTGCTTGGTATTGGCACCAACTCGAGAGCTAGCACAACAGGTTCAGTTGGTTGCAGAAGACTATGGGAAATCTTCACGTATAAAGAGCACTTGTATTTATGGAGGCGCGCCTAAAGGCCCTCAGATCCGGGACCTAGAAAGAGGTATGTGTAGACCCCTTTATTGTAAAAAAAAAACGTAATTGTTGAGAATACTGAGGTCTCCTCTATAAGGTGACTACACAGTAGTTCTCTTTTAAAATTTTCTGAAAATTAATTTGCGGAAAATGTGTGTTTCTGGGTGTAAAACATTTCCTGGACACGTGTAGCTCAGTAGATTTAAATATTAAGTAGCTGAACCATTCAAACAAGGAAGATCTCAAGTTCCATCTTTAAAGTGTTCTGTTTGAACTCAGCTGGACTAGTGGTAAGAAGTTTTTTTATCTTAGTGAGAGTGCCGCTACCTGATTTTTTTTTAAGTTCCATTAGAATTTAACATGTGCAAATGCAAATGTGCAAATATATATTCGAGTAAAAGTCAATCTTGTGTCAAAGTCTGCCCCCTATTTTTGGCCAAGAAATCTTGAATTTTCCATATATCTTGTGTTCTTCACAAATAACAGATCAACATTTGTGAGTTATCCTGTGCATACCGGTAAATGTTACGATGAAGAAATGATTGGTGAGACTGTATGAGAGTCAAACTAAAACAACGGTAGACGAGAGGAAACGGAAGAATTTGGTGTGAAAGTTTAAGATACTTGAGGTCAGAGTCAGGCAGTCAAGGAATATAGTCATAGACCTACCGGTAGTTCAGGTTTTGAAATTTCTTCATCTTTTTGTGTAAAAATGCCCTCTGGGAAAAACAAAACATATACAGCAGCGTTTAAAATGAAAGTTATTGAAGTTGCAGAGAAGACAAATAACTGTGTAGCAGCAAGAGAATTTTGTGTTTTGGAGAAACTTGAGAGACTGGAGAAAGATATCAAACCAACTTCAGACAATGCCAAAACAAAAGTGTGCCAACAGAGGTAAACCTAACAAATGGTCACAATTGGAGGAAAAAGTTGCTGAGTGGGTACTTAAATTGTCAAAATGGAAGATGTGTTAGGCGTGAAGCCATCTGAATCCATGCACAAAAAGAATCAAAAAAGGATGGATTTAAGGCAAGTGCTGACTTAGTACTTTGGCAGAGAACTAAGATTGCACAAAAGCTGCCTGCTGAATTCGAAGATAAGGTAATACAGTTTCACCATTTATAATCAGAAATTGGCAAAAGGAGGGCTACAAGTTATCATGCATTGGAAGCATTGACGAAATGCCTATTACTCTCGACATGCCAGAGAATCAAACTGGACCACAAAGGGGAAAAAACAGTAGTGGTGAAAACCACTGGCCACGAGAAAGGTAGGTTTACTTTAGTTCTTTTTTATACGGCTGATGGCACCGAAGTTAAAACCGATGGCTGTTTTTAAGAGAAAAACCCTGCCAAAGGAGAAATTTCCAAAAGGGATTGTCTATATGCATCCACAAGGCTGGATGGATGAAGGTGGATGTCGAAAACGTAGAAAGGAAGCTTAGAATTCATACCAGGTGGACTACGCAAGGAAAAGAGTTTGCTCGTCTGGGAGCAGGACTTACAAGTGTTTTGCAACCAATGGATGTTTGTCTTAATAAGCCATTTAAAGACCTGATGAGAATGAAATGGCATAACTGGATGCGAAAAAAATACGCGAAAGGAGGCAGTATGCAGGTTCCATCACTGCTGCTGATCTGTGAATGGATCGTTGATGAACAGAAATAAGAGCTGACACTATTTTTCAAATCATTCAAGAAATGTGGAATTTTGAATGCATTGACCGGTACAGAGGACGATTATCTGTGGGTTGACACAGATGAAGAAGCAGCAGCCGATGATGTGCTACCTCTAACTACCAACAGCCAAGGTGAAGAGGATCCATACGATGATATCATTCATCCTGATGATTATGAAGCTTTATTTGGTGCTGAAGATGTTGAACAGTGATTTTTCAGGATTTTAATGAACTTTTTTATTTGACATGTTTAATTTTTGTACGTACAAACAAAAGCTTACTACTGGTAATTAATTTTTGTTTCTGTTGTCTTTATCCAGCAGTTGCCGGTACATTAATTCATTGTATTTTCCTCCTTTATTCATTTAGAGATCAATTTGACTTCTGCTAATGATACAGTATTTTGGACTGTAGCATGAATTTCAGCCCCTCAAAACTAGTATCCTTGTAATAGTCGACCCCATAAATTTAACCTTAAAAAAAGTCTAAAAAGTTTGACTTTTACAGAAGTAAATACGGTATCACAATGCAATAGTCTGCAAGTGAGAAAAGTAAACAATGTGCTGTTTGTGCCAGTAAAGCACTAGGACCTTCCCAGGAACTTGATGCTTCTGTGCTTTGCCAACCCACACGTACAAACTGGTGTAATGCACTGTATTGCTGGCCCAAGAAATCAAAGCACTGCCTTTGGGTTCGAGTGTGCTGTATTAGAACTCTACTGCTGTGTTCATTGTTTTCCTTTTTTCACAGCAAAGGTCATTTAAAGTAATCCTATTGTTTGCACAATTTGCATGATGGATAGTATTCTCCAAATAACACTTGCTCTCACCCAGTTCACTCCATTTTAATTTTACATGCAAATTTGAACAGCTTGAGGTAGGTTTCTGTACCTGGATTGAAGGTAGAAATTCAAACGAACATTGTAATCCATCCCTCCCAACTATCATTTACTCTTAGCTCAGAGACTTACTCTGGGTCCTGTGCTTTCATTTTCAACTTTTCCTCTGTTTTAGGAGTAGAAGTCTGTATTGCGACCCCAGGCCGTTTAATTGACTTTCTGGAAGCTGGGAAGACGAATCTGCGTCGCTGTACCTACCTGGTCCTGGATGAAGCTGACCGCATGTTGGATATGGGGTTCGAACCTCAGATCCGGAAGATTGTGGAGCAGATCCGAGTAAGAATATTGTCAATTGAAAGCATTGTGAAAATTGCGTGGTTCTATAAGGCAGTGTAATGCTATTAAAATCAGCTACTAGTTCACACAGCTTGAGCCTAAACACCCTTCATTCTGACCAAAGTAATGCCACCAGTATGTTCATAGTCTGTAAAACTGAGAGAATTGAAATTGACACTTTGTGGAGATGAGTGATGTTAGAAACCATAAAACTTTGCCTATTTTGTTCAGCCGGACCGACAAACGCTGATGTGGAGTGCCACTTGGCCTAAAGAGGTGCGGCAGCTAGCAGAGGACTTCCTACGTGATTATATCCAGATCAATGTTGGAGCCCTCGAGCTGAGTGCCAACCACAACATTCTCCAAATTGTTGACGTGTGTCAGGAGACTGAGAAAGACCTGAAGTGAGTATGCCTTGGTGCTCTGGCGGGTGGTACCTCACTATGTGAGGTGGAGGACTTCTCATAATGATGTCTGTATTTATAGAATGATAGAAAATTTGCACAAGAGTGGGGCTGTTCAGCCAATTTAAGAATCTGTATAACTCATTCTTAATATTTCTGCAGTCAGCTTTCCCCACTTTTTCAAGTAGAGCGATCCATGTGCTGACCACCCTAGTGAGAGCTTGGCATTCTTATCTTCTCTATAGTGATTTACCAACAATTTTGAAGGTGTTTGCTTTTTTTTTAGCTGTTCAATTTCACAATAAGTGGTATACCCTGTTTTGGAGATATTCATGTCTGTATTTGTGTAGCATTGTTATTTCCAACTGGTCAGAACTTCTCTAAATGCTGCTTGAGAGATGTTTTTATCTCCTGCTGTCTAATGCTTTGTGAAGTTTCATATCAATACCTACTTTCTACACAGGCATCCAAGAGTAAAATGGCTAAAACTGACCCTTTAAAAACGCCACCTCCCAGTCTTGAGTGTATATGTTCAATTGCAGATTGCTACATCTGATGGAGGAAATCATGGCAGAGAAAGAAAATAAGACCATTATCTTTGTAGAGACCAAACGTCGCTGTGACGATCTGACTCGGAGGATGCGGAGAGATGGGTAGGCACTGTTACACTCCCCCACCCTTGTGGTTTTATTGGGTACATAAAACTTAATTTCTTGACATTTTAGTGAGAGCTTATTAATTGAGGTAATGCCAGTTACTAATCTTAGCACAGCATCCGAACCTGGAGGAATTGATTAGACACACCAGGGTATAGAGACCGAGGAGGTAAGGGCGTCACTGGCTAGGCAGCATTTATTGCCCATCCCTAATTGCCCAGAGGGCAGTTGAATGTCAACCACATTGCTGTGGGTCTGGAGTCACCTGTAGGCCAGACCAGGTATGGATGGCAGTTTCCTTCCCTAAAGCACATTAGTGAACCAGATGGGTTTTCCAATAATCGACAATGGACTCAAAGTCATCATTAGATTCTTAATTCCAGATAATTGTTGAATTCAAACTCCACCATTTACCATGGTGGGATTCGAACCCAGGCCCCAGAACATTATCTGGGTCTCTGGATTAACAATCCACCAATAATACCACTAGGCTATCGCCTAGTGCTTTGAGACTTGTGCTATCCAGGCTGAGTAGCATTTATGCCAGGGAAACCCAAGAGGACAAGTGCGGGCCTGCTTTCAGAAGGAAATGAGGGACTTGAGGGTGGCTCCAGTGTATGGTGACAAGCTTGTTTTTAGCCTTTTGAAAGTCTTGCTCCTTTTCTTCATTCCTGCAGGTGGCCGGCAATGTGCATTCATGGAGATAAAAGTCAGCCTGAGAGAGACTGGGTCCTAAATGGTAAAAATGGATGACCTTCCCATGTTTCAAGCAAGAGTTTTTTTTATGTAGTTAACAACTTAGTTAATGTTCATTTTAGTATTATGATTTTCAGTTACTCAGATAAATTATAATATTTGTACTTCCAACCACTTTTGAATGTTATAAATATATCCCATTTTCAAGACTGAAGGGAACTTCCTGATGACCATTATAAGAACCTAAAACACAAAAAGACCTTTGGTCCAACCCATTTCTTCTACAGTTGATTTAGTTTCTTTTCTATTTCTCTACTTCTGTTTAACTCCTCCAGGAAACTACTGAGTAAACACTCCCCAGTCTCTAAAAGGTGACCAGCAGAGCTTTGAAAGTGCATTCAGCAATCTCTGGATCTGCTGAATGAAGTTCAGTCATGATTTGCTGGCATTCACTGGCAAGAGGGAGTGAGATTGAGGGTGTCGAAGGACAGAGATGCTTGAGTGAATGCAGTGGGATGGAGGAGGGTGTTACGGATGTTCAATTGTATAGTCACCCAACCTTGTCATCTACTGTAAAACGTCTTCCCATATCACTCATCCAAATTGTATCCTTTCACCATTCATCCAGAAGCCCATAACTAAGCATTTTGTCAAGTTTCATATTCACAAACTTGATAATGCTACTGCCTGCATTGTAGTCGAGTTCATTTATAAAAGTTGAGAAGAAAATGAACCCAAAACTATTCCTTGGGTAACACCAAGGCAAACTGTCTTCCTGTCTGGGAAAAAAGTATCCGTCTACTTTAATCATTCTGTTCTAACTATTTCTGATCAACTCCATATACTGTCATCATCTTAATAAATTTCTTGTATGACATTTTGTCAGATGCCTGCTTGAAGTATATATGTATTTGTGCTACATTAGTCTTCCCTGGACTGTTTTCCCCCAAATAGTTCAAGTAGCTGCTTCTTGTAGCTCCCTCATACCTAGAGATCTGTCATTGTATGCCATGCCCCTCTGTCTTGTGCCATCCTGTCACATCCACAACTGCCTTTTGGCATCCGTCATCCAACTATACCTAAGTTAACTTTTCTGCAACTCTCCACTTTGCCCTCTAGAAGAGACTTCAGTAGCTTTATAACTCTGATCAAATGGTCAAAAAAAAATGACATTTTCTAGTTTGGGTATCATGTTTTTTCGAGTTATTTTTGCTGTTGCAAATTGAAGTACTTCTTTCTGTGGGAGAATTATATTTTTTGGTATATGTTTTTGAGCCTGTATGGCAGCATTCAAGTATTTAACTTCTTCAATTGCTTGTAAGCTATTTATGCATAAAATGAATTGAATTGAGCTTCCAGTTTACGGAAGGAATGAGAAGAGATGGTGTGGTTTTAGGTAGTGTTTGTAATGAAGTACTTTTCTCCTCTTCCTGCAGAATTCCGATCCGGAAAGGCACCCATCCTTATTGCAACTGATGTTGCATCTCGCGGTCTAGGTTTGTACTCAACTTGTTTGCAGGAAAATGTATTGCAGATCAAGCTGTGAAATTGCCTAAACTGAAAGAGGAAAGCGATATTTAAAGTGACATAGTGTGATTTCCCCACCAACTTGAGCTTTTTAAATAAGTGACTTATTTTTGTTTTTTAAAATGTCTCTTTGTTTTTGTATTAAGGTACAGGCCTGCGGCAAGGCCTAGGCATGACAAAACGAGCACCAAGAGGGAGAGGAGATATCCATCTACCGCCACCTACATAAACCAAGCTTAGCCTTACCGTGTGGGGTCTTAACCCCTATGCACTGGGCTGGCTGTCCCAAATTTGGGGTCTTCGGATAATGTTTACCCCGACTTCTGTTATCCAGCTCGCCCTGGCACTGTCTGGTTCTACCTCTGCAGCGGACTGGTTCGTTAAATAAATAGGGTCTTCAGATAATGTTTTTTCCAACTGACTGAATATCCAGCTTGTCCTGGCCTTGTGGGGTTCAAGCCCTGCTCCAAGCCATCTTATTGGAGAGAATACTTAGGGGACTTCATAGATATTGACTTGCCCATCAAACCAGCATAGCCTAGCAATGAGGCAATAAAGCTCTGTACTACTTGAGTTCACCTATCAACCAGGATACTATACAGGTTCCAGGTAATCTTACCCATCGTAGTCAGATGGTGTACAAAGGGGTCCAGCTGAATTTATGGCTCTGTGCCCAGTCTGGGCACATTTAGTTGAGATTTTTGGATACATGTTAAATGTTGCCCCTTACTTGATGAGAGATATTCCAAAAATGGGAACATGTATTCAAGTGTACTTCTGAGAGGTCAGTAGACATAGTACACTTAACACCATCTATTAAATAGTCTTATGGTTAAATATTATTCTGTGACTCCAGAATTCCTTTTGAAAGTGGAGCACTGAACTTTTTGGATACTTTATTTATCAGTATTCACTCTTTGAAATCTGGACTTCAATTATAGAAACTACAATAACTGCCATATTCTGGATTCCACTTGCATAACATCAGCTGTTGCCCTCAGTTATGCTAGAGTTGTTGATGAGGTTTGAGCCATTATTATGATCCAAACAGAAACAATTGTTTTGTGTAATGTATGTGAAAGATTGCATGGGTACCTGTTAGAAGTATGGACCCTGCAGTTGCGTGATCCAGATGCAGATGCAGGGAAGTCTTGCCTTTTGAGGTACTTTTTTTGCGGTAATTGTATTGTTCAGGTGTTGCACTTATTTTCCAGGCACATCTAATACTGTGTTAGATTAATAACAAGGGGCAATAGAAATTGTGCTAATGTGCTCCCTGATTGTGCACATGTAGAATACCCTTATTGTTTTCCACAGGAGCACTTAAAGAGCCCACGTTTGAAAGAGATTAATGTAAACTGCTTTTGAATGTAGCAGTGAGGTAGGCTGAACCCTTGATTTGTGGGCATCCTGATGGCTAATGGGCTTTGAAACCAGTTACAAATAGATTTGTTGTCTAAGGGATACAACTTAATCCTGTGTATCCCCAGCTTGGTCTGAAAGAACCTGTTTAGCAATCCATCTCTTCAGTTTTCTAACAGCTGGAATTCAGTATAATTTCAGTATTTTACTGACAAAAATGGCTTTATCTGAAACCCTGTTCATTGAAAACCAGCACAAAAGCCAGTTCCAAGATCAGAAAATTGAAAGCAGAACCAAAATTCCCTGTTAAATTCTGACATTTCCCTTGTATTATTCAAATTTGATTTACTTATAATTGGTTTACTGCTGAAACTAAGGGGCGTGTGGAATTGTCTGCTGATTAGGGGTTTCACACCAAGCACTACATTTACATGGCCGGCCAGTTCTGCACTCAAACTGTTACGTGCCTCAGAGCTAGAAACAAATCTTTCTAGCCACTAATGGGAACGCCATGCATGCACTGACAGTTACTGGCCCACTATTTCACACTAAGATGGACAGACTGTTCCGAAGTAACTTCCCCTTTAACGGGCACTGGTAGTAAACTAGGAATTAATAGCATATATGTTCTTGGTCTTTTTACTTAAAGGGTTAGAAGGTTTGTTAAGTGTAGCTGTTACAAAATAAAGGTCCCTTAATGGGGAAACTCCAGATGGAACAGTTTGCTCATTCTTAGTTCAGACTGCAAAAAGAAACTACTGAATCCCCGCTGGTTAGCAACAATTGCAGCCAACTGATCCACCTGCTGGATTTGTGGCTGTATTGCAATCCCTGGGGAATGGTTTCTAATGAGAACTAGAGTAACGTGGTGCAAACAGTTTACTCTCAACTATTGTGAAACCCCTACTGCCAAGCATGCCAAGTATCTCCCTCACCTTCACAGGACGTCATGTCGGGGCTTGTCCGGTAACATCTTGGGCCTGTCTGAGTTGCGCTGCCCGAAAAACGGGTTGCAAAAAAAGTTTTTAAGGTAGGAATGAGTAGATTGCTGCTTTCTGCATCTTGCCTAGACATTGTCAGAATTTAATACAAAACAGAACTCTTCCATGTAGGTTACAGTCTGTTTCTTGTTACCGACTGATTCTACCAGGCTGGGAAAAATTTTGTTTTGAAACAATGGAGTATTCTCGAGAGCCAGTAGACAATAGTTTGTAAGGCCAGCTTTGAATATATGTGTTAGGGACTTGAGCTTTTCTGGTGCGAAGCAAACTTTCTCTGTAGGAAAGTGCTAGTTCCAAGAGAATGAAACATCTGCTGTGTGTTTTGGTCAAATCACAGGAACAGCAACATTTCTTAATATTTTTCCCAGTCTGCCATTAATAATGGGCTCTGAGTTTTAAAATCTGCATTCTGTTGTGCAAAGCAATCATAGCAGGGTCATAGTAAAAAGCAAACAAAATAGTTGTGTAGAATTTGGAAAATCTCAGAGTTTTTATGCTCCACGCATAGTTCCTCTGATCCTTATTTCTTAACATAGCTTTTCCTGTCCTTTGTTGCCAACTGGGAAAGAATTGTCAGAGATTCTCCACAGCTTCAATATCAGAGGCATCACTTAGATCTGACACTTGACAGCGATTTAAAAGATATAGTTCACAAGCCTTTGCACTGCTTCACATAATGATAACCTTTGTCATGGTTTGGATTTGTCATTCTACTAGCTTTTTCCCCTTCCACGATAAAAGGCTGCTGGAAAATCTTCTCCCTATGGTTTGTTTGAATATGTATAAGTTATCTGAAAAATACCGATCAACTAGCAGAACACCATATATCACACTGGAGCTGATAGTATGCTAGGATGAACTCAGATATGAGACAAACTTAGATTTTGCACCAGTAATGCTTCTTTTCAGTCAGTTTGCAGTATAGCTAATGTATTGTTGCAGGCAGCTCACTGACTGGCATTTGGTTATTCAGTAAACCTGTCTTGTGGATTGCTGTGAGTGTTAAGGTGCCCATTTTTGGTGATCCTGGTTCTCCAAGATGTTGAAATAAATGTTAACATTGAAAAAGTACTGTCTTGTGGCCACCTGAAGCTGGAAAGTAAGTGACATAGTTTGGCTTCCTTCATGCAACTTTGAGATGCAGACATTTGCAGTTATAAAATATGAAAAGGCGGCTGTAGTTGTCACCAACAACCATGGATAGTAGGACCCAGGTGATGATGTAAGCTTTTAGCTTCACTATTGTGATATCTTATTTGTCCTATAAGATGGGGTGTCCTTTAAACCTTGCTACTTGAGATCCATGTCTCTGCTGTTTGTCTGCTTCTGTCTCTATTTGATATCAGTATGTGCTATAATGATTTGTTTTTCATTTTTCATGTACACTTTTCATATCTGTTTATCTCTTTACTTCTGACTGTCTGTTGGGGTGAGTAGTTCAGTCACTGTAATGTTCATCTTTTTTTATTTAAAATAGGAGGAGATAGCATAGTGAAACTTGAGCCCATTCTTGTAATGAGAAACAGACTTCAATAATAGTTTGTCAGTAAATTTCAAAGAAAAATATTCTGAAATTGTAAAAGTAAGTCTGGGCATGAGATGCAGCCTTGGTTGGGGTGTTGTCTTATTTTTGGAGAGTGGGTTGGAGGACCTACTTTAATACCAAACTACGGCCCTTTGGTGCCACCTGAAAGTCGGGCTACAGAAAAGTATTCAGCCATCCATCCCAGCGTGTGGGACCTCTCGCTACAAGGGAATGCTCGATGCATGCTCTCCCAGCTCCACTGGTCCCGTGTCGCAGGGCGGAGGTCGAAAGGAGACCGCCAGAACCAAAGAAACGGGATTGGCTGCGGCAGTACGATGGAGGGAGTGTGCATCGGACTGGTAAATACTACTCGATACAGGAGGGAGGAAATCCGTATTTTCTAGGCATCATCTTCTAAATGCAGATTTTGAAGGGTTAAGTTATGTCTTTAATCTGAAATTATCACTAAGGTTAAAAGTTATCATGCAGTTATTGGTACAGTAGGAGCTAACATATGGTGTGCTGTTGACTTTAATCATTGGCAGTCCATGGGTACAGTTAAAATGCTTTTAGAAATCAGCTGCTTACAAAAACTCAGACTAATTCCCTGCAGAAGGTTTCCTTCACAATTCAGAATGTGTGGACAGAAAAATGCTTGCTGCTTCCTAAAGCTAAGCATAATTTCAAGATATAGTTAGCTACTCAGCTTTTGTGCCCATATTTTCAATGTGAGGAAAAAAAATTAAGGTGATGGCCAATGGAATGGTCCAGGTTTGGGTTTAGAACACTCACATTTCTGTCAAAGTTCGTAGTAAACAGTAGTTGCACAAACGCAATTTCCAAGCACATTCTGACTCTCGGATAAATTACATATCATTGAGACCCAACTATCTTCAGATTGAGATGGTTAGAGCCTTGTCATTTGATGTATTTTGAAGCATTATAATTCTTGATTATATAAATATATATGTATATCCATAAATATTATAATCAAGCCAAGAATGATATTTTTGAGAATATCGTATAGAAGATTTCTTATGTAATTACTCCATTCAGAATATTGCGGTAGAATCTGATGCCTGAATGTAGATTTAAATATGCCAGTCAATGGTCAGCTTGTCAGTATTGTGCCAGCATTCTGGAGTACCAGAATAGATTCTAGTGGTCAGAAACCAGTAATTTAAGGATAATTTCTAGGCCTAAGCAGCATTGTGAACTTCTGTTCACATTACTGCAACATCTAGGAATTGGAAACTTAAGGGAGTATTCCTTCACAGATCTACATTTGAGACCAGAGTTAAACAATACTTGTTATTTAAGCCAATCAAGCTCTCCTTGGGGCTCTTGGGGAATATTGGTCTGTATTCTTGTTTCACAGAATCAAGGTAGTTATAACTCGAGCATCACTGAGTGGCTATTTACTAGGTTCAAAATAACATCACTCATAACTTAGCTCTTCCTGTAGACTGTATCTCTGGTAGCACCATAAGCTATTATTTTGTTTAGTATGGTGCCTGGGGAAGTGTTTTATATCTTGTGATGTTTGGTACTGGAGAGTTATTCTCACTTGCCTTTTATCACTAAATGAGAGGGACCTTGTTATCAGGAGTGCTTCTTTAATCATTAACAGATACCACATCATAAACTGTAATCTGGTTCAAGTAGTACAGTAAATCTGTTTATTTATTGGACTTTGAGTAGCAATTTGTTTTCCCTCAAAGTAAAAGTCTGAGCATATTTGACCAAATTAACAGTGAGGAAATCTTGTGTTATTCATGTATCTTTCCTGCAAAGTGTTGTGTTAGTCACTTTTCAAAATTAAGATTGTTTTTTCTTGAAGGTGTTGGTGGTTAATGGCAGGTTAGGATTTTAGTCTGAAGTTTGTGAACTTATTATTGAAAATTAAATTTCAGGGTTTTGAGAGAATGCTAGGATGGGCTGGATATTCAGGTCCAGCAAGTAAGTTCTGTGATTCCATTGGTGTTTAGAGGACACTCATTCTTGTGTTGTTTCCTTCATACAGGAAAGTGGCATGCAGAATGGTACAATTATAACAAGCTTTACCAACATCAGAAACAGATTTGTGCAGGGTGTCACATGTTACATCTGCTCCTGTAGAACTACCCCCCTCCTCTTTTGTCTCTCTTGTCAAAGCTCAGCTGTTTCTTTAATAGTTTTTGTTTGAGCTGCTATAAGATACAAGAAGTAAAGTTGGGTAGGGACCAGGGCTTGTAAAAGTTTAAAATACCTAGTTTTTGATTAGTAAAACGATATTGCAGGGCCTTTCTTGATTGAACCAGATTTATCTGCATCTCCTTTTAGAAGGTAAAGTGGTGAAAGGAGCAGTTACAGGTGCTGAAAATGTATTATAATTAGTGATGTACAGTGATGTCTGGCTTTCCCAAATGCATAAGCTCTACGTCAAGAACCTAACTAGAGAGGAACAATGGTTCCCAGACCAAAACTAACAATCTGTGTTCTGGGGCAACATGTTTTGAGAATTCCAGGTGTTTTTCCAGTTGGTAGAGTGGTGGATCTGCTCTCCTAAGAGAGCCATGTGCACTAAAAGTGGTTCAGAAAAGCTATTTTATGTTTGTGCTCAGTGTTCTGCTGTTTGATATGTGAAGTTTCAAAGCATGGTGTGGGTTTTTAAAACTTTGCATGTGATGGGGATCCATTGCAGTACAGTAGCATAAACTGTAAAGGTACTTGTACTCGAATCTTTGTTCTAATTGATCTCTTTCTACCTGGCTGTTGTGGTGTGCTGTTTGTGCTGCTTCAATTTGGCACATTCCCTATCTCTCCACACCACACTGCAACTCTGCTTTTACAGATGTGGAAGACATCAAATTTGTCATCAATTACGACTATCCCAATTCCTCAGAGGACTATGTTCATCGCATTGGCCGTACAGCACGCAGTACTAATAAAGGCACGGCCTACACCTTCTTCACACCAGGCAACGTGAAACAAGCTAGGGAGCTGATCAAAGTGCTGGAAGAGGCCAATCAAGCCATTAACCCAAAACTCTTACAACTTGTTGATCATGGGAGAGGAAGCGGAAGAGGTAACTGAATTCTTTAATTTCTCACTGTTCTACTGATGGGATACTTCACTAGACCAGATCCTGTTAAAAGCAGATTCCTGAACACACTTCCCTGTAGTGAACCTAGGATTGAGAACTCAGGTTCATTATAGGTATGTCATTGCTGAGGCACTTGTAGAAGGAGAAGCAAATGTCAAATGTTTATTTGTAACTCCTGTTCAGAATCATTAATCCATGTTTAAGATGCTTGCTTGTCTTCCTTTAATGGGCAGTAGCACCTTAGCTAAAACTACCTCATTGTTGTGAATGTATTTTATGTTTTACCCTCTTGGATCTTCCAATCACTGATTACGCTCTGAAGCCAAGATCTGAACTCTGATTTTTTTTTAACACTTTCCTGTCATTTCTTATTGCCCTCAGTCCTCTACCTTGAACACTTTAGCCAAGTAGGCAAATGGGTGGCAGGCAAGGTAAGCCTTTCTAAATCTGCAAGTGTATTGTGATCAAATCTGGATACCACATCTTAAGAAAGATCCTGTGGCCTGGGACAGGGTACAACAGGGAATGTGCTGGAAGGAACAGTAGGTATTTGGATGTATTAGAATATGGGATTGTTCTGTTAAAAGTAGAAAAATTTAAGAGATACTTGAATTGAGGTATTCAGAATAACCAGTAGTTTTGACAGAATAACATAAAGTTATAGAGCACAGAAATAGGTCCGTCAGACCATCACACCCATACCCATTTAAAAACAATCACCCAACTATTCGCATCTCATTTTCCAGCACTTAGCCTATAGGCTTGGTATCACCTAATACGACTTAAATGTTATGAAGGTTTATGTCTCTACCACCCTTACAAACAGTGAGTTCCAGATTCCCACCACCCCCTGGGTCATTTTTTTTTCTTCACATCTCCTCTGAACCTTCTGCCCTTATTTAAAACCATGCCCTCTGGTCATTGATCCCTCCGTCAAGGGGAAAAGTTTCTTCCATCATAATTGCCACTTCCATCATAATTCTTTACATCTAATCATGTTCCCTTTCAATCTCTTCCGCTCTGCTTTGGGACAGCACAGTGGCTCATTGGTTAGCACTGCTGCCTTACAGCGCCAGGGACCTGGGTTCGATTCCAGCCTCAGACGACTGTCTGTAGAGTTTGCACATTCCACCAGTGTCTGTGAGGGTTTCTTCCGGGTGCTCCGGTTTCCTCCCACAGTCTGGAGATGTGTAGGTTTGGTGGATTGGCTATGCTAAATCGCCCATAGTATCTAGGATGGGAAATGCAGAGATAGGGTAGGGGGTGAGACTGAGTGGGGTGCTCTTCGGAGGGTCCGTGTGGGCTCAATGGGCCGAATAGCCTGCTTCCACGCGCTAGGGATTCTATGATTCTAAAAAACAAATCCGATCTCCAAGCCAGGCAATATACTGCTAAATCTCCTGTGCACCCTCTCCAGTGCTATCACGTATCCTCTGTAACGTGGATTCCATGTACTATATTCTGTACACACACTACCCCAGTTATGGTATAACCAACATTTTATATAGTTCCAACGCAAGTTCCCTGCTCTTAAACTCTAGGTCTTGACTAATAAAGCCAAGTATACCATACAACTTCTTAATCATTATCTCCACCAGTCCTCCTACCTTAAGGGGCATTCACATCAAGGTTCCTCTGATCTTCGGTGCTTCCCAGGGTCCTGTTGTTCATCACATATTCCCTTGCCTCAGTTGTCTTGCCCAAGTGCATCACTTCACATTTATCCAATTTGAATTCCATTTGCTGCTGATCAGTCCATCTGACCAACCTATCTAAATCCTCCTGTAAACTAAGGCTAGCCTCCTCACTATTTACCACTGCACCAATTTTTGTATCACCTGCAGACTTACTTTCAATCCTCCTACATTCAAGTCTAAATCATTTTATATAAAGCACAAATAGCAAGGACCCCAACTTTGATCCCTGGGGGACACCACTGGATGGACCTCCAGTCAGAAAAACACCTTAATTGTCACTCTCTGCTTCCTGACACTAAGCCAGTTGTTGATCCAGTTTGCCAAATTCCATTGGATCCCATGGGCTCTTACCTTTGCTATCAGTCTCCCATGCAGAATCTTAACATGGTCCTTGCTGAAGTCCAAGTGGATGACATCAAAAGCATTGCCATCATCTACACAGTCGGTCACCTCTTCGAAAAATTAAATCGTTGGTCATACATGATGTCTCCTTTTAAAATAAAAACCATGCTGACCATCTTTGATTAATCCCTGCCTCTCCAAATGAAGATTAATTCTGTCTCTCGGAAACATTTCCAGTAGGTTGCCCACTACCAAGGTTAGATTGACTGACTGGCCTGTAGTTTCTTGGTTTTTCCCTTGATCCCTTATTGAATAATGATACCACATTGGCTGCCCTTCAGTCCTCCAACACTTCTCCTGGGACCAGAGAGAAGTTGAAAATTATTGTAATAACCCCTCCTATTTCCTCTCTTGTGTCACTAAACAAGCTGAGATATATTTCATACAACTCTGGAGATTTATCTGTTTTTAAACCTGCCAGACCACTCAGAACATCCTCTGTCTGTGCTGATTTCTTTAATTGTATCACAGACCTGATTTTTGTACCTATGTCATCTCACTGTGAACACCGTCACAAAGTATTCATTTAAAACTGTTCCTAAATCATCTGGCTCCACACAAATTACCACTATGGTTGTCAATGTTCTTGTTCCCTCATCATCCTTTTACCCTTAATGCCTCTGAAAGAATTTGGGATACTGGTAGGTAAAATAAAGGAAAATCCTATTAGTACACAACATCTACCTCACTACCATGTACTTCACTGGAATTAAGCTGAAAATAAGTTTGCTTTAGTAAAATTTTCATTTTTATTTCCCCACTTATAAGACCTAGGCATGTCCCCTTTTGTCTCTTCTAATCTCTATAATTTACATCTTGCACTTTCTATAATCTTCTATAGGATTTCTGCTGTTTTGAGTGCTTGGTATCTGCTGTAAGCCTCCCCTTTTTTCTTTCAATCCAATGCAGTATATTCCTCGATTATCCAGTATTCATAAAATTTGATGGTCCCACTCTTTCTTTATAGGAAAATGTTGCATACTCTGCACACTACTTTCAAGTTGTAACTGGAGGGCACAGAATAAGCAATTGGCAAAAATAAAAGGATGTGATTAGATTATTTTTCTTGCATCATGAGTTATGATCTGAAACACTACCTGAAAGGTGGTGGTGAGAAGCAGAGGTTTTAGCTCAGAGTAGAACTGGAGAAGTTCTCGTAAAGGGCACATTTTTAAGACCGTTGTAAGGGCACACTCTACATACTGTGGATGCTTTGAAAGAGTCACTTCTTGTGTGAGAAGGCTAGTGGCTGCTATGAGATTAGATAACATGAGCCAGAATAATTTAGGAGCAAAAGTTTCAGTTCAGTGGAAAGATGCTGAAGTTTGCATCAGCAGCCACCTAGGTGTTCACATATCTAAAAATGTGAATGCAGATAGACGGAGCCATCAAACAAACCACAACATGTTTAACGGAGTTATCATAAGGGATCCTCTTGTGGCACAGTGGCAGTGTCCCACCTGTTCCAGAGGTGTGTAATAACATCTCTGAATAGGTTAGAAATAGTACAAGTACTAGGAAGTAAGAAATAAATGTCCCTTTGAAGGTCATGGATGCACCAGGATCGTGCCAGAGATTGTTAATGAAGGAGGCTTGGCAAGTAGCTAATGTTGTTCCTCTGTTCAAGAAGGGAAATAGGGATAATCCAGGAAATGTTAGACTGGAGAGTCTCACATCGGTGGTTGGGAAGCTATTGGAGAGAATTCTTAGGGATAGGATTTGTGCACGTTTAGAAAAGCATGGCCTAATTAGGGACAGTCAGCATGGTTTTGTGCAAGGCAGGTCATGTCTTACTAACTTGATAGTCACGTCCTCAAAAAATTCAAAAGTGATCGATGAGGGTAGAACAGTGGATGTTTGTAAGGCTTTCGACATGGTCCCTCATGGTATGGTTATCCAGAAGATTAAGATGCATGGGATCCATGTTGACTTGGCCGCTTGGGTTAAGAATTGGTTTGCCCGTAGAAGGCAGAGGGTAATTGTGGAAGGGTATTTTTCTAGCTGGAGGCCCAGTGGGACTTCTGCTGTTTGTAATTATATAAAAATGACTTGAAAGAAAATGTAGATGGGTGGGTTAATAAGTTTGCAGACAATACAAAGATTGGAACAGTTGTGGATAGTCTAAAAGGTTGTCAAAGGATGCAGCAGGATACAGATCAGCAGCAGATATGGGCAGAGAAATAGCAGATGGTGTTTAAGCTAAGTAAGTGTGAGGTGCTGCACTTTAGGAGATCAAATGTTAAGGAAAACTATACAGTTAACGGCAGGACCCTGAACAGCATTGATGTACAAAGGGATCTTGGGGTTCAAGTCCATAGCTTCCTGAAAGTGGCCACACAAGTATATAGGGTGATAAAGAAGGCGTATGCTATGCTTGGTTAATGGTCGGGGAATTGAGTATAAGAGTCAGGATGTCATGTTGCAGCTTTATAAGATTTTGGTAAGGCCACACTTAGCGTACTGTGTTCACTTCTGGTCACCGCATTACAGACGGAATGTGGAGATTTTGGAGATGGGTGCAGAAGAAGTTTACCAGGATGCTGCCTAGATTAGAGGGTATGAGCTATAAGGAGAGGCTGAGGGGAGACTTGAAAGAAGTATATAAAATTATGAATACATAGATAGCGTTGACAGTCAGAATCTTCTACCAGGAGTTGAAATGTCTAATACTAAGGGACATCCATTTAAGGTGAAAGGAGGAAAATTCAAAGGAGATCTGAGGTGCAAGTATTTTACACAGAGAAAGGTAGAAGTCTGGAATGTGCTGCCAGGGGTGGTGGTGGAGACAGATACGATGGGGCATTTAAGGGACATTTAGATAAGCATGTGAATATGCAAGGAATGGAGGGATATGGACCAAGAGCAGGCAGAAGGGATTAGTTTCATTTGGTGTCATGTTCGGCGCAACATCATGGGCTGAAAGGCCCATTCCCGTGCTGTACTGTTCCGTGTTCTAAGACCGATGTAAAGATTTTTAATTGTCTAATGGTATACAAAAAACCTTCAGGGTGAAGGATCAGTGATGTTGTCCTGAATTATAAGTTGTCAATGATGAGAGGAGAATTTTCTAAGCACCGAAATTGTTGGGTGAAAAAAAGGAACAAGATTCTTCTAGTTCATTTTCTGCTTGTTGTGCAGTACAGGAATGGAGTTGTTATTGAGTAGTGTTGATTGGGGCAGGGCATCATTAATTTGAGGTTGCTGCAGCAGAGAGAGAGAAGGTCAAAAAAGACTCCTGTGCTGTGATGTATACCTCTGATTCAGTAACTTCAGTCAACAACTGCTGTTTTGCAAGATGTGGGGCTGTTGATGACTTTGTGAACACCAAAACAGATTGTTCCAAATTAAACTCTCTAACTTTTCCTTCTAAACTTTAGCTGTTGCACTGAGAATGAGTGAAATGCTTTTGAATAAAGGCGCTTGAAATATTGTTTAGCCCAATTTCAGAAGTAAACATTTAATTTTTGCAGCTTTCTGTAGCCCCAGTTTGACCATTAATTTTGGATTTGAAGTTTTTTATTTGTCTATTTTATTGCAGGATTTTACATCTTACATTTGTCTAGAAGGTAAAGGGGGCAGAACGGTAACGTACGGTGTTGTAAAGGGACAGGACATACTCGGATTTCTTGGTATTGTAAAGTCCTCACTGAATGAGATGGGTCACTGATGCTGGAATGCACTCATAGATTACAGTAGCAGCCTGTCAAGAGGCCCTGGAGCCTTTCACCTGAATCAATTTCAGTGTGATCTGAGAGAATAAGCTTCAGTAGGCAGGCAGAGAGGAGAAGAAAGTTACCTGTGTCTTTATTGTAAATTTGAGGAGAATTTGTATGGTCAAATCTGGTATTTCATGCAGCAACAACAGTGGGAATGATTTTTATCAATGTTGGGTGTGCTATTCAGATGTAAAATTTAATTCTAATTCACTAAACGTGTTTCTATTTCCCCCTACTCTAGGAGGCCGCTCTCGTTACCGGCCCACTGGCTCCAACCCCAACACCATGTACAGAGACGATCGAGACAGAGGCCGCAGCCGGTCTTTTAGAGACCTCGATGGGGACCGCAGAGACAGGGGAGATGGGGGAAGGTTCGGGAGTCAGAGAGATACCCGAGACAGTGGTGGTCCTTTGAGTAAGCAGAGTTTCCGATCTCAACAGGCCAACAGTTTTGGGAGCCCTGTGTACAGTCAACAGTCAGTCCAATATCCAAATTTTACCCAAAGTGGGCTATATGGGGGGACTAACCAAAGCACATATGGGGCTGTAACTCAAGCAGGATTTGGGAAAGCAGGTAACTTCCAAAGTTCAAGTGCAGGGAGCAGTTACAGTACTTCTAGTTATGGCAGTGCTGCGCAAGGCACGGCTTATGGTTCGAGTACTTATAGTGTTTCATCCTCTGCCACTGCAGGGCGACCTCCACAGTCCTCCACGCAATTCAGGCAGAATGGGATGGGGCAGCAGCCACAGCCACTGATGTCTCAAACATATCAACAGAGCAACTCACTGTTGGGTTACATGTCCCAGGGGACCTATCAGTATGCACCACCTCCCCCGCCACCACCTACATCACAGGGATCAAGCCGAAAATAAATTTCTTTTTGTAAAATTTCCACTTTATTTCCCCATTTATAAGACCTAGGCATCGGCTCCATTTTCTAAAGAAGAGTAAAGTTTAAAGAAGATGAGTAAATAATCCAATTGCATTCACCTTGACTTCATTACTATAATAGTGTGCGGGGCAAGAAGCAAACTTTTTGATGCTGATCCCACATGATCAAACATGGGCCATTGTGTCAATGTTACTACTGACACCTACCTTAAATCTTGCTGAAGTGTAGGTTGTGTGTTAATGCTTGCAAATCATGGCCCAGTTCACCTGTTGATCACTTAGTAAAATGGAAGCATCTATTGGTCAGTGCTTGAACCTTGATCCCTGCTTATCTCCGAGGTGAGTGTTTTGAATCTTGCAGTGCCCTAGGTTCAACCACTCTCCAGAATGTTTTTTAAAACCAGTTTGTTCCATGTTCAAGTGTATCCTTTAAAAGGTAGGTTTTGTGTCTGAAGTTCTTGTAGTGTAATTTTACCAGGACGCCTACCAATTCTATAATTTGGCTATAAACTGAAGCTAAAAATTCAGACTGCCCTTTTCACTGTCATAGCAAGTTTACAGTACAAGTTAGGTTACTGATTGTAATGTGACAAAAGAAATAGTTAAGTCAAATGTTCAGTTTTTGAAGGTATATATACAAACCATCAAAACTCTCTTCTACTTAATGCCACTTTTATTTTGAGTCTCTTCCAGTTTTATTTGCTTATAAACTCACGATAAAAGCTACTCTTAAGACATTTGTGAAATAATAATTCATAAAAGCCTTTTGGATTCTCTCTGTAACTGCCCTAAATACTGAGCACACGCTGCACTAACATCTCCTTGACTGCAAGATTGTCAGATTGATTTGCTTTTGAGAATTCTGATCATTATGGGACAGTCTGATGAATTGGCTATTGGCTGAAAAGTTTTAATATGGTTCTCAGCTCACATACTTGAATAGTGCTGCCTTTGGCTACCAGCTTGGGTGTTGAAGGCTGTGCACGTTCAAATGTGGGGTCACAATGGGTGTTATTGGGTACTTAATATACTCATGAAGTGCAATCTAAATGAAATGAACATATATTTGGAACAGCCCATAACATTGAGAAATAAGAACAGCTTCTCAGTAAAAGAGATTCCAAAACAGTGACAGTGAATTGTCTCTTTCTACTTGCATCTTTTTAGCCCCCATCTCTTGGGTTTTCACAAAGCTTGCTTCAGTTGCCTATACGAAGTGAATAGTCATGTCCTGTGGTGCAAGCAATGAGGTCTGGTTTCTGTCAGTAGTTTAACCTAGATTTTAAAATAGAATTGATTTCTGATGGTTTAAAATTAACAGGTGAAAATATTGAACTGTTACTCAACTACTTTCTTGTAGTCACAAACTTGTTACTCTACTATCTAAGAGGACTATTGCTGAACAGTAAAAAGGGGAGCTATCCTTCACCAGCTGCCAATACACAGAACAACAGATGACAGGAAGTTGCAGCATTGTTGGGTGTGATCTGATGCTTTAGGTTATTGTTCATGAGCATATTTTCCATATGTGGTAGCAGTGGATTCTTCCTGTTCTGTTGATTGGGGTTTTTTAAACCAATTTCACTGTTGTTTAATGATTGGCCAGTTTGCATACTGCTTAGTATTCATGACAGTAGCAGGTTTTCTTTCAAATATTTGAGTGCTGGATTATCATTAAAGGTAGGTGTTTCATAAATGAGCCCCTTAAACATAAAAGTCCATTTTCTTTGAGGCATTGTACAGAATATGTAGCTGATCATTTTAATTTCTCAAACCATTTTTTATTTGAGGTTCAGTTAGTAGGATTGTAACAGCTTTCAGATCGTGTGGTAAAGCTTCAAGAGTGCTTTCTTAGGTTTTCCTCAGGTCCAAATGTTGTGTCATAACAAAACACATTGTGAATGAGATACAAACATTTTGGAGCTTCAGTATAAATTTGAGACCAACCAAACTGTTTGTCCTAAAAGGGGGAAGTCTTTGTGGTTACTATCACCTGTAATGCTATGTTCTGTAGCCATGTTGTTTGATGTAATTTGAATGACCTGTACCATCTCTCAAGTGCTTGCTTTGTTATGCACTTGATTAGTAACGTCATTCCTGTCAATAAAACTTGAACTCTCCCTTTGTTTACTGTGAATCTGTTTTGTTTTGATATTGCAATGCATGTTGTATACGTGTTGATTCAAATTGCTGTTGGAATATCTGTCAGTGCTGCTGGCCTGATGTGGGGGTCTTGGAAATGAGGTTTAATTCCTGAAATGTGTCTTTTTTTCTTATTGTTGACATCAGGTTATCAGCTACAGCATCATGCTAAGCATGCAGGTGTTTCACCTTTTCAAATGTTACTCTTGGTGCAGGCATTATAAAGGCTCCCTTTTGTTATTTCTGTTCTGGGGAAAGTGAAGCAGTTGAAGACACGGTGATGGTAGCTTGTATGTAATTTCATTGCCAGCCAACCTTCCTTGAACTTCTCTCAGTCTCCCAATGAAACAGAAGAGGCCGCCATGGTGTCAACAATATTTTTAAAAGACATATTCTCAGGCAGATTTCCCCATCAGAGCAGCTTGTCAACATGAGGGTGAGATTATTGCTAGCCATTAATTAGCCCTTTAAAGCAAATGTGTGTTGTCTTGCAGTGAGCCCTACTTCATTCTGTTTTCCCCTCCCTAACCCTCCTAGATACTGGTCACTTTTTCATAACACCAGTTCTGGCTCATTGGATCATTTCATAGAGCATTATGGATGAAGTTGAGCCTTTCTGCAGAACTATAGCTGACATTGCAACCACTAAGATTACCCCAAACCCAAATCCTGGATGTTCACTTTTATCTATAATGGAGCTGTACCAATTGCTAACGTAACACTGGGGGTAGAAAAAAAGCTAGGTAACAACTGGGCGAGCAGCATCTGGAGACAGTGACAACTTTGCAACTTGCACACTTCATTTAAATGCTTTAGGTGTTCTGAAGTACATTTTTTCTTAATGCCAGGATTTAACAGTAGTACATAATAATCTTTGTTTTATTGACAATTGCTCAGAGGTTCTGCAAGCTATGTACTTGTTAGCTTGTCTGAACCTTTTAAATCTAGGGGGATATTGCGTCTCAGCTTTTAAATAGTAAGAATTCTGCAGCTGGGGAAGAATTGCAGCAGTCTAAACAGATCTTGTAATTCTTCCTTGTATGTGAAAGATTTCACCTTGTGAAGTTGTACCTAGTGTCAGTCTTATTAATGTGCTATTTTGATACTGTACTGGTTTTCTTGTATTTTGTAATTCCAGTAATAAAAGAGTTATTTACCAAAGAAATGGCTGCACTTTTTGATAGTGGCCTGTCTCCATCTGTACATTTACTCTTAATACAATTTGGGTACAAAAGTAGGTGAGCAGATTGTGCTAAGAATTGCAAAGAAAAAGTGTAAAAATGCTATCCAGCTAAGTTTCTGCTCAACGGTGACAACCCCCTTCAGTTGGTAAAAGATTTAGTGATAGTAACACGTGAATGGCTGTTGAGGGAACAGGCAGAGGAGAATGGTAGGAAGGGGTCGAGAAGTCTGGATTCATCCTGACCTCTCCATAATTTGGCCGTCATGAGGAACCGGCTGTTACCAGCAACAGATGTATCCAAATCAAACTCTAGAGATGATGGGGATCTAGTAGGAGCATCAGAAGGTCTCACAGAGACAGCCCATATTCATCAACATTTGCTTGAAGACTGCAAAATGTTTTTCATCTGATTTCCAAGTAGTTCAGCCACTTCTTCCCTTCCGTGACTGAGGCTTCACTGAGAGGTCTGCAATCTGCATTTAATTCTTTAAACCTCGTCCACTTTTAGGAATTATTTAGATGCCTGGATAGGAAGCCAGATATTTAAATTTTCTGCAAACAGTAAGCCATGTGTATCGAAGTATAAAATTACCGAGCAACTGACATTTCAATGAATGGGCAGATGTAGAGTTTTGTCAGTATGAGACCATTGACTTTGGGCCTGAGGAAAATAAAACTGGGGACTTAAAGCTGAAAAGATGCAGCCATGCAGATCATTAAACTGAGATATAAACAGGTGCAGACAAGTCAAAAGAACTGGCCTTTCTCCAGGAGACTGACGTACAAAAGGGTAGAAATTGTCTCTGCTTTACAAAGACCACACCTGGAGAATTTAGCTGATCTGGGTACAATCATATCACCACAAGACAATTATGCTGACTCCAATGGAAGCTGCAATCTTAATTTTTCACAAACTGCATGTTGTTGCTGGATGGAATTGGCAAGTTGCTCCACACTGCTACTCACCAAGCTGAAGGTGGGCTCCTGGACTACATCACCAACCTGAAGCTAGAGGTTGTAATTGTGGGGCAATAATCCATAATTACCAGCATGACTCCATATTCTTGCTACCTGCCATGGGTGTTTGGAAAGTATGTGGAAGGTTGATAATTAAGCCATTTGGCTGTGCACCTTTGTCTGAATGCACCTTTGGGGCTGCAGGTCCTTGGGATGAAGAGATAGTGTTGGAAGTTCCACTGGTGGAATTGGATTGAGAATGACAAATTCAGCTTGAATGTTATAAATGACATTAAGACACAATGCTGATTAAAGTCCTTTATTACAGACACTTGATAAATTTATGCCAAATGCAAAGTGTATATAAAATGAATCAGAACACAAAAGCATTATTGAAGCTCAGTGTTAGGAATGAGACTTAATCCTGGAACTGGTGTGAAACAATTCATGGTCAGCTGGTAAAGTGGGGAGTTGCAGTGACCCAGTGATAATGTCTGATTATCAGAGGCTGAGGACAGTGCTCATTACAGGGGTTCAAATCCTGCTCTAGCAACTGATTGAAATTAAATTCTGGAATTGAAAGCTCATATCCGTAATGTTGACATGAAACCACTCTTGATTTTTTTTATTTAAATTATCTAGTTTACTAATATCTTTTAGGCAAGAAAATCTAACATCCTTACCTGGTCTGGCCTGCATGTGGCTACAGGTCTGAAGAGAACAGTAATAGAATAAACTGCTAGTCAGCAACTTGGCACCTGAAATGATAACAGTGCACCCAACCAACCTTGCAAGGTCCTCCTGACTAACACCTGGGCATGCTCCAGAAGTTCGAGAACTCTTCCCATCCTGAGTTGGAAGTGCTGAGTGGATCTGCTTGGCCCCCAGCATCACAGTCTTCAGCTGACTCAATTCACTCCACATATCAAAAAAAGGGCTGAAGATACTGGATTCTGCAAAGACAGTGGCCCCTGACAATATTCCAGCAATAGCACATTCCTGGTAATTGTGGTCCAAGTCTTGCCACACTTAGGCAAGCAGTTCCAGTACAGCTACAACACTGGCATCTACCAAGCTCATGCCCACCTTATCTGTTTAGTCTTTGGACAGTAAAGAAGTGAGCTGAGGGGAGAGTGCCCTTGACATCAAGAAGCATTTAACCAAATATGGCATCAAGGATTCTAGCAAGACAAGAAAAATGGAAGTGGGCAGATCTCTAGCAACCACACAAGTCGCAGGCAACAATCACCTCCAAACAGAAAGTATCTAATTATTACACTCCATAGTGGTATTATCACTGATTTTTCCCACTTTCAAAATTGTGGAGATTGACATTGACCAGAAACTGAACTGGCTCAGCCATATAGATATTGTGGCTACAAGAGCAGGGCAGCAACTAGGAATTCTATGATAAATAGTTCACCACCATAATTTCCAAGCCTAAACAGGATAAGCCTGGAATACGTGCAACTCCAACAACACTCAAAAAGCTCTAACTATCCCAGATGAAGCAGCTGCTTGATTGGAACCTCATCTATCACCATTGCACAGTAGCAGCAGCGTGTACCATCTGTAAGATGCAATGCAGTTACACACCAAGGCTCCTTCCAAACCCACGACCACTGCACATTCCACTCCAAGCCACTCACCTTCCTGACTTGGAGATACTTTGTCTTTGTTACAAAATGACTAGACCAAAATCCTGGAATTCGCTCCCATACACCACTGTGGATGTCCCTACAACAACACCCACCGCCCCC